ACCTTGGCAGCTTTCAGATGTGTGGACTTCAACTCCCAGAATTCCCCAGCCAGCAAGGGGAACTCCCAACTCTGGGAGTTGAAGTCCTCACATCTGAGAGCTGCCAAGGTTGAGAAGCACCGACTTAGGCAAAGGGGGTGAAACATTCTTTAAGTTCTGGGAAAGAAGGTAATGTTTGGAAGCGGGTCAGGCGGATCCCTCCCTGATTCACTGGAGCATAGAGGAGGAGAGGTAAAGTGCCACCAGACTGGTTAGGATAGCCCGCCTCCATAAAGTATAGTTCTAATCTTCCCATGGAAGATTTTCTGGTCTGGTCTGGTCTTCCTAATGGGGTTGACGTGAGGCCATGTGGTAGTGGCATCCCCGTGGAACCCAAAAGCCAAGATAGGCACGACTGTAACCCCTTAACTCTGATTTCCTTTCTTTTGTTCTTTGTCCCCCAGGAAAAGCAGACGCCTATGTGGAAGTTTCTATGCCAGATGTGGTAGAAGCAGAAGTTGGGAAAACAGCTGTAATTAACTGCCAGTTCTCTCTCCCAGAGAACACCAGCTATGCTTACATCAACTGGTTCTCTGTAAGTCAAAAATGAGCTTTGGATGAGATTTTGGCTTCTGTGGGGTCCCGCCAAGTGTGGAAGCTTCTGAGTAACACAGAGCTCTGGGCATGCTGTCTTATCTCCCCCCCTTGTCTCCTTTGAAACCCCACATTTTGCAAATCAAAACCACAAGTGTCAAATGGTTGGCCCACCGGAGTGGACAGTTCCAGAAATTAGAGTTCTGGATTGTTTTGAAGTTTGCCATCTTTTATCTTTTATTGATTTTATTGTAAAGTCTTTGATTGTTGCAAGTGGCCCAGAATCACTGAGAGTCAGGCAGCATACAAGTTTAATGAATGCTACTACTAATAATAAGAATTATAGAAGCAGCCAGTGGTAGAATAAAACGCGATGGCTTCTTACTTGCTCTAAATTGTTGCAATTTTTTCAAAAATTAAAAATAGCTAGAATTGATCAGTTTTAAAAATAGGTTGACTTTATAAAACAGGATTAAGGACATTTCTTCCCTGGATCAGGAAGTTCAACACTGCCACCATCTGGCAATTTATTTTAAAACTACTTCTGGAGGAAAAGGCTTGGTCCTACTTTTAAGGAAGTTTCAGTAACACTCAATTTGTTGGAACATGGCTGACTTCTGAAAAAGGTCAGCATGAACACTGGGTTTTTTAAATACATCGGTCTGGGCTATAATACAGTTTTAGGATTAGTGACTCGTTCACACTGAGTGCAACTAATGGAGATGTCATGGACATATAGTTGGGCAACAATGCAGAAATGTTGGGCCATTTCTTCTCGTGGGATATTTTTTTGATGTCCCCATCTCACTTGTGGCCAGAGATTTCTGGTGATTTCCCCATTGGCACTAACTAAGTCTGATTCTAGGTTGCTTTTCAAGATCAAACAAGGTCAAGAGTTTGTACCACCTTTGAGGTCCTTTGGGTCCTTTGACCCAAAGCAGAATAGGTGTGTCTGAAAATCCTGTGTCAATTTCCAATCAATGTCATCTTGCTTTGCTTGGAAAAAATGCACCAGATTCATCCTGGTGTGCCCACTTACCCCCAGCCATGAATACTATGGCTGCTCCTACACCTTCTCAGTCCTGAAATCTGAGCTTGGAAGCAGCAATGTAATTCTTCCCAGCCATTCCAGCTGCTAGTGGATTTCAGGTCAATCGTGTTACATCATCTTGATTCTGGGCTGCAGATGAAGAAGACAGAACTCCTCAGGAGAACTGGAGTTGGCCTAAAATGGCTCACCTCCAGGGGTGTCTGCAGGGTATGGTCCAATCCAGGCGACAACTACAACAGTTGATGCCCGTCAAAACCAGATGGAGCTTCAGTTGCACCATTGTGGTTGCCAGCTTGACTATGGCCCATCCTCTGTGGACACTCTGTGAGTCATCTCTGTTCCTCCCTGCCCTTGCCCCCCTCTCCCTTGCTTGCTCCCTTCCTCGGATGTTTCAGTGGGAAAAAGTCTCACGGAAGAAAATCATCTACATGATCCAAGACAAGGAATACTGGGAAGAAGACCAGTACAGGGACCGTCTGAACATTGCCAAGAACTTTTCCCTCATCATCAGGAGGGTGACTCCGCAAGATGCAAAGATTTACATCTGCCAGGTGGGGCTCGGCAGCCTCGGCGTTAGCGAGAACCGGACCAAGCTGCAGGTCTCGAGTGAGTAGTCCAGCCCCACCAAACCCACGTCTTGGGTTTGGGGGTTTTGCAAGCAAGGTCCAAGCAGTGGAAGGCTTCTTCCTTCGGCCACGCAGCCTGACCTCTGCCTTGGTCCTTTCCTCTTCCAGAAGCCCCAGAAGCACCTGAGGTTCAGCTGGTGGAAGGCGGATTGAGGGCCTCCGACCCCGAGGTTCAGAAGGTAGGAATCACTCTCTGCTGCCTGGATGTGACACTGAGGAGCTCTGCGGTGGTGCTTCTCCCCGAGACTTGGACCTCTGTCTGGTCCCAGCATCCCCTGATCCTAATGCACCCAGCTTCTGTTTTGAACATGCCAACAGTGCCATTTCTGGTCTGTGGCCTAGGAGCAGGGGGAGGTCAGAAGACTCAAGAGGGCAACTATGCAAAGACCCACTCTTTTTTTTTAACGTGGTTGCTACATTGCCATCTTGACTTTTTGAGGTTCCACCTCCCTGCCCAGAAGGTAACTTTTTTTTTGTAAATATAGGAACATTTCCAAAACCATGTGGGCACCGGGCAAAGCTGTTAGGACCATTCAGGGTTGGCATTTTCTGTCATTCTCTCTTTCTTGCTTCTGGCCAATGATGGCTCCAGTATAAATCATGCCATTTTCATGTGTTCTCACTTTTTTTATTTTAGTTCACAGATTGGGGTAAATTTGGGGCACAAATTCGGCATTTGTGTGACTACATTTCATACAGGCTTAGATGGGGTGAGATACTGATGTAAAAGTATTGGCTCTGTGTGAGCTAGGTTTCCTTGCTTGTTCAGCTTAAGCCAGTGTTTCTCAACCTCGGGAACTTTAAGACGTGTGGAC